TTTTTTTTTTGCATTTTGCCCTCTTTCAGGCTTCGGCATCGACAGCTTCCAACCTTACCGTAGTCATGGCGTCAATGGTGCAACACCAGAGGCGAATCTCTGTGGTTGTCAATACGTCGGTGCAGCCCTAATTTACCAAAAATATGAATGTCATAATTTATATTTGAATATTTATAATATAATGCATTACATAAATATATTTGTAGATAAAACCTTCTGTAATATAATAAATATTATTGATTGCCTTAGAAATTTTCCTGAAAAGTAGTTATGTTCGCATTTCATCTTCATGAAAAATTACCTTATGTGTTAACAATTTGTCAGTCATGTCTGTCTGGGTGTCCATTAGAGGTATGAAGGAGGGAACTTTGACATTCTTGACATTTTCTGAACAGAGTGCTACTTTGAAAAAAAAAAGAATTGCTATTCCATCTTATTGCAAGTTCTAGGATGGAACATAGGAAATAAAAGGCCTGATGCAAATCTGATGTAATATTTAAAAAATCCACATTGAGGAGCCTGGCTTCAGCATGAAGAAATCATTTCATCTCACTATTGGAGAAATGGCAAAAGCATGAGGTGCACCACTGGTGCACCTCAAGCTTTCCCCATCAGACCTGGTCCCAAATAAAACTAAAAAGTGGAGGGATAAATGCCTGAGGGTGGATTTTTGAACAGAGAACAATCTGATAATGCAGCTTTATTCTGGGGAAAACACAATTTCCTGGAAATATGTGTTTAGCAGCAAAATCAGATAGTTCACTGTTCAAAATCTACCCTGAATGTGCAAATATAAATGTATATATAGATATAGATATCGGTATCGGTATCGGTTCTTTTCCAATATCGGAATTATCGGTATATCGGATATCGGCCAAAATTCAATATCGTTGCATCTCTATTAAAAACACAGTGTATACTGCAAGTGCAATTCAAGATAAAATAATACCAAAATCAAACACATTTTAAAAAAAATCAATATAACAGAATTCACAGAGCAAGCTCTCCTCTTCCATAGACTGTTGTGTCAGGTATCAGACCATTTGCCAAGGCAGAGTCCTGGCCATTTTGGACAAGTAGTGCAAATGATGATCATGTCCACTTGGCAGACATAGTCATCATCTGTACTACTATACTAAAGTATTGTGTAGTTACAATACTTTAGCATACTTGTCTTGCTGCTATTTGATCCACATGGGGGAATTTTCCTCTTATTCATGGCTTGTTGAATCAGACTTCTTGTCGCCATTGGGAAACTCTATATTCACTCCTGCTCAAGGAAATGTCAGACTGGAACATAAGCGGTTCTAAAAACACCTTTTGTTCAAACCTTTTTTTTTATTACTTGCTGGGTAGATTTTGGGGAAACAGTCCCACTTCATCCATGTTTCAATCAAGCCATTTCAAAATTTTGGTAAATGATATTAAATGCTTCATGTAATGACGGTGCACAGAAACAAAGAGCGGAGCATAGAGGCACATGGTTTATGATAAGTCCCAATCCTGAGCCGCAAGCCTTGCACTGAGAGAAACAAAGGCATAGAGACAACAATGCACTGATGATGCACATATGCATCATCAGCATTCCTCAAAACTAGCATTTGACGTACATGTACATCATCAGTAGCGAATGTGTTGACTGCATGGATATCCTGTTCCTTCTGCAGAAATAGATTTTGAAGAAAATTTGGCCATTGACACATCTCAGACTACACAGATGATCTTGAGACACTAGTCACTTGTATCTTGAGATACTTGAGATACTAGCCACATTCAACATCATCTTCCTTTTGAAATATTACTTAATTGCTAAAACCATTAGACTTCTATAACAACACAGTTTTCATGCACTAATGTAGATCTCAAATTGCCTAAATTGGAATCAGTTTTTACCAAATTTCCTGTCAATATTCTTCATTTAAAAATCCCAAAAATGAGTTAAAAACCACGTAATAGCAAATTGCAAAAGGCATCATTCAAGTAAGGTGAGTTTGTAAATTATGGATGAAGCTAAATGGCATGAATTAGGGGGTTCTTGATCTTGCAATGGATTGAAAATGGCTGATGATGATGCTTGGCTTGATAGATGGAATGTACCAATGCAAGCACACATGAAAATATGAAAGGAGGATAATTCACCATGTACTACTCATCAAATACCAAGTAAAATTTTCTGCTCCATAGTAAGATCTGAAGTGAGATGTTACTGTTGGGACTTCAATAGCCCTATTATCTGTCTAGACAATATAATTCAGGGCTCTGGAGTCCAGAGTAATGAGACTTGACTTTTTGCTCACCAAGATCAATATTCCTCAGCAAAGGTCCACGTTTAGAGTATTCTGATGATAATGAAGAGCCTCGAATGAGTTGCAAGAAAGGAGCATTCCGGCAAAATGTTTTGACATGCGTTTCTGGAATAGAGTCTCCATTTCTCCCCAAGCGCTTCAGTGTTGACTGGACATGTCGATACACAACCTCACAGTCCCTTTTTGCCTGCTCTCGGTAACTACAATAATCCACCAAAAAAGGGGTTACACATGCATAGGAATACAATGGGAGTCAATAGGGTAAGGAGCCTGGTCAATGGCGTCTTGCTACCTTTTGGTTTTACTTTCTAAACCTGAATATACATTTAACAGTTTGATATATACGAGCAATTTCCAGGAGCTGGCAATATGGAGTCCAACCCAAAGTCAGGACCACTCCCTCTCATGAAACAATGGAAGTTTGGATAAGCACACTCTTCTGAATTCCTCTTTCATAAGATCCACCTTCACAGAATGGCTTTGTTTAATCTCTAAAGACAATTTCAATTCCAATGTACAATGTCATGCCTGACATGAAATTTTTACAGGTGCAATTCAGCTATACTCAGTCTAATGTTGTTCTTAGTGTCATATTGCACTGCAATGCAGAAACTTCAACCAGAGAACTTTAATAGTTGAATAATTCGCTCCATACATCATTGGAGTTTGAATGAGATTTCATCATAATAGTTCAGTTTGAAAATGTGAAATTTCATTAAAATTGACCCCCAAGCATCCCATGTGGTGAGGGAAAAAACAAATCTCTTGTTATACCATAAATATAAATTGCACTCCTTTCTCAAGTGCATCGGAAAAGCAAGGTAGTTTGACGTTTTGTCTGCTACATGGTGGAAAATTCACCTCAAAATGAGAATTTTCTCAATTTTGGTCATCTACAGCCAGGTATTTTTCAATGTGCCAGAGCACTTATAATATCAAGACTGGGGTCACTAGAAAGGGAAACTTAAGATCTCTGATCTGGTATCTGGTTTGATATCTGATTTGCCGTGCCAATTTAGTAAAAACAATGCTTCATTTGTCAAAACCTGGATGTCTCAAAAATGCACTTTTTCTTCAAGTGGCTGAGTATGGTCATGTGATATATGGCTGGAAAGGTCTTTCAGAGCTCTATATGGTATATTGAGTAAGTCGCAATTATATGCAAGTAAATTCACCATTATGAGAGCCAAAATGTTGCTCAACCTTAACATCCTTAACCCTTCAATCGCTGAATTTTGACTCAACCTCCTAAGTGATCAATGGACAGTGGACGTGGAAACAGCTTGAAGGGCTAAGCATTAGTGAGCAAAACAAGTAATGCAAAGAAAATCAGCATACTGACAAGTTAATCCAAAGGCATTGCATGGAGTTCTGAAAACCATTTCTTGTGATATATCACACCACAATATTCAGCCACCTGAAGAAAAAGTGGATTTTTAGAATCTGCAACTTTTGTAAATGAAATATATATTTCTTATGAAAAAAGGCACAGCAAATCATATATCATTGGAAAGATCTTGGGTTCTGCTTGCTAAGGACTCCACTCTTGATACCATAAATGCTCCACCACATTGAAAAATATTCGACCAAAGATGACCAAAATTGAGAAAATTCCCATTTTGAGGTGAATTTTCTGCCATGTAACGGACAAAAAATCAAACTACCTTGCTTTTCCAATGCACCTGAAAACGGAGTGCAACTTACCATAACAAGAGATTTGTTTTTTTCCCTTACTACATGGGATGGCTTGGGGGTCAATTTTAATGAAATTTCACATTTTCAAACTGAACTATTATGATGAAATCTCATTCAAACTCCAATGATGTATGGAGCAAATTATTCAGCTATTAAAGTTCTCTTGTTGAAGCTATTGTATGCCTCCATGTGATGAACTGTTTTTGATATGGAAGTTTGGCTGTCCATGGGTTTTGCTATTTGCCTTAAAGTTTGGGGGCAATATCTAATGCCAGATCCAATGGAGGTGATTTTTTGCTGGGTTGCTAGATTGAATGCAATTGCTTCCTATTTAATATCCAAATTCTGAGATGGTCGGTTGCCATTTTATATTTAACACATTGACGACAATACGACCCACCAGTGGGTCGTATCAGTTTTAATTTATTTTTTCTGCGCTTTTAATAATTTCCCGCGATTTTTTGTAATTAATCGATGATAATAGTCCCCCAATAATACTGTAAACATCGTGGGCAAGCAAAATCTGGTTTCAATATTTATTTGTCATTCTTGAAAAAACAAACAATTTTGAACACCTTTTTATGATGTTTGGTGAAACAATCAATGCAAAAATGCTTGTGGCATTGACAGCATCTGGTGTTGGGCATGTTTGTCATGCAAATCGAGATCCCTCCTTCTTGGACAAATCTCGGTAGCATCCAGTGCATCTTTTCCTCGAGACAGCCTTGGGACCAGCAAGTTCTTCCAGTGTGTCGGGTAGGTGGAGTGTATAATCTCTCGTTGTCGAGCAGAGACTGTTAATAAAGTTAGAACTTTAGTCAGTCAGACTAAAAGACGTGTACCAGTGATATGTTGGAGGTTCGTAACTGTTCTCGACAGACCCACTCGTTCACCTTCTTATTTACTTACATGGTAAACAAGCACTTCCTGATGTAAGGTGAATAAGAAGCCATTTGATCGCTTGTGTCAACGAACAATTTCACTTGATTGTAATCTTGAACAATCATTGGCTTTGCTTGTTCACTCATTGCGTCGTCGTGAGTGGTCGACAGCATCAGAATGTCTCTCTTGTCTCGCCACTTCAGCACGGTGACACCAAGTCTNCATTGCGTCGTCGTGAGTGGTCGACAGCATCAGAATGTCTCTCTTGTCTCGCCACTTCAGCACGGTGACACCAAGTCTGTTTTGTTGTGCCATCACGGAACCTCTTTTCAGCTTCTTTCCAGTTACCTGTTTGGGTAGGCCTCTTCTGTTCCTTCTGACGGTGCCAATCATATGGGTCTTTCTTTTGATCAATTTCTCAGCAAGCAGGGTACTTGTGTACCAGTTGTCCGTGAAGAGACGTCTTCCGTTGTCGAGTAAACTGTCCATGTCGAAGTACTGGTGTCTAAGCCGGTGTCACGGTTAAGACCTCCATAGGAAAGGCCGCATGTGTTAGCAAAACATGCACATCGGCGGGAATCTTGTGTTAAACTTTTCGAACTACGGCATAGCCACAAGTTTGGAATATAGTGGCGAAACACGATTCTGCCTCGGAATGGAACCAGCGATTCATCAATACAGACGTCTCTACCGGGCCTGTAGATTCTCTCACATGCGGTATTGAACAAAGTGATAAACTGCGAAATCTTGTACAGCCTGTCAGAGCCATCAAAACTGGCATTGTCAGCTAAATGGAGGTTCGACAAAAAGCTTCTCGAATTGGTTTCTGGGCATAACTCGTGAGCCAATTGGGTGACCACCAAATACAGGTCGGGAGCTCCAGTAATCCCACAGCTTTGGCAATTTGACAACACACATTTGAAGACATAAGCCAAAAAATTTCTTTGGCTTCAGTTGGCACCCACGCTGGATCTTTTTCTTGTCCATATCTGTTGGTTTTGTCAACAATGAGGTTGAGAACATCCGTGTTCAAGAACAGACAATAAAAATCGATTGGATATTTACATCCTGCCAAAATCCCTGGATCCGTTCCCCAATTGTCATCAAAGTTCCAGAAATCATGTACAGTAACAGTGTCTAACCATGAATCCGAGTCGTCGTCGTCATCATCTTCCTCCTCGTCTTCTTCTGAACTATCATCAACCTCTACCAAACATCTGGCACTGTCGTCGTGCTCACCAGCCTCTTCCTCTTCTCCACTTTCAATCAGAAGGCGGTCAAAACTGACATTTAGCTCTTCGTGCTCTTCTTTAGACATTTTACCTGAAAATGGGGAAACTAAATAAAAAAATTAATTTCGCAACTAATGTTCACGATTTATAACAAAAAACCTGAAATTTATATAAAAAACACAGAAAATAGAACCTTTATTACAGTGAGGAAAAAAAGACTACCATATGGGACAATACAACCCACTGGTGGGTCGTACGCAAAAAAAGAGAAAAAAAAGGGTCTGTCCCACGCGCGAAAAAACGAAAAACGTGCATTGTCGTCAATGTGTTAAATTGGTTGAGTTCATATGGAATGAAATCAATATAACTATATTTTCAGCAGACCTGATTATTCCAAGAATGCAATGATTCATGCCTTCATTTCCCATCCTGATCAGTTGGGAAAGTCAAGTCTGTGATGAGACACAAGGTCTTTGGGCTGATTGCATGATATTTTCCCAGTGTTTTTCAAAAGTCATCAGTTAACTGAGGTCTAACAGAAGCTGAATAAGGTGTCGTTTCCAGACAAGGGATGGGGCATGTTTTGCTGATATTTATGCCAGCATTCACATACCATCTTGATGAGTATTGCAATGCAGTGTACTAGTGAATCAAAATGGGATCATTCCATCTCAAAGCAGCCAGAGGATGGAGCATGACCCCCCTCTAATATTGACAAAAATTGTTTATGTGGTACCCCTCATGGCCCAAAGTAAGAATGCAAAATTGTGGCTTCGGATATGGAGCCATTTTGGCACAATAATTCGTTAAATTTTGTGAAATTTAAAAAAAGGGGCACCTCTTCATGCTCATGTGGGCCTAAACGAACGCAGCAACCATCATTGTTCTTTAAAAAGGTTAGACTTTCGAAGTTATTTCATATACTTTTTCCTTGAGGCGATACTGAATGAAATAAAGCTATGTCAAATTTGCCAAATTTTGGCATATTCAGAAATCTGCAAAATGTCAAAATGTTCATAAAACCCTATCATCATGTATGTTTTCAGAATCAGTGGGAAAAGATCTAATGATGTGTCCCATTTTTGTCCCAAGAAATTCCACTTAAGGAGATGTGATGGCTCAAAATAAACAAAAATCACATATTTCACAAAAAAAACACTTTTCAATTATATAGTGCCATTTTCCATGAAGCTCAACCAACTTTAAACATTTACATAATGTCTGTCATTTACTTGAGTAAAAGATGAGAGCAATTTCAAAGCTCATATATTTTTTTAAGGCATACCACCCATTTTGATACAGACCCCACCTCACTATTTCTATTGCTGTTTTTAAGGCCAAAATTTTCCCTTTGATTGCAGCTATGAGGAAAAAGAATTTGAAGAACTGGCAATGAAAACTTTTTATGGTTCTTCGGCCAAATGATACTCTATTTTCACATTTCTGACTTCTCCATGTGTGTGGAAAACAAATCCTTGCCCCCCACCATTGATGCATCGAAATACAGAGTAGGGTCAGAGGAGAACTCATCAGTTTCCAGGCATGATTATAATTGTGCAAGGAAAATGCATCATGTCTATCTCTATCGCGGGATTCTCCTTTTTCACTCAATTCGCCCGTTTTTTGCAGAGTCCGAAGTGTATTATGCGACAGCCAAGGAGTCAGAATGTGCTTTACATACTTCAAAGGGTGTTTAGCCATCGCCTAACCATTGGCTATGAAAACATGGCTTAGGGATCGTTCTCACAATTGAAAGTAGACAGCGGTTAACCAATGTTTTTGTAGACAGTGTTTAAACAATGACTATTGATAATCAATTTCTAAAATAAACATCGTTCATGCAATTGGCCCTTTGTGTCTGCATCTTACAAGTATTGCACCCTGCTGCCAACCTGTCAGTGTCTGTGAACCATGATGTCCACCACGTCTACAATCTCATGCTATAGAAATTTTGCAAGCATTGCTGAGCTCATGTTTCATTTAAAACAAGAGACTTTCAACACAATTGCACATTTGGAAAACATTGTCAAGTGTGAAGGAGCCATGGAAAACGCCAAACTCTCCTGTCTGACATTTTTTGAGTGATTATGCTAAAATGAGTTGGTGTTACACATACTGTAATACTGCATACATATATTAACAATTTTGTATGTATAGAATCTTAGAAACCTCCATAACTCAAATTTTTGTTAACTCGAATTTCCCTTGAACTTTGAGTTATAGAGAGTTGAGTGTATATGCCCTACTATGTACTAAATAGGCATAATAATTCATACACATATCTTACTTGCTTCTCCATATCATTTATATACATGATTTTTATAAAATTCTTATATGGCCTAGCCATATATGATCACATACTCATTGTTTCAATAAGAAGATATGATCTATTAATATTTTTTTTTAACTAATATTTTTTCCCATATATGTTCATATATCATATGTGATAAACTATATATGTCCCATATATCATATATGCCCATTTCTTATTAAATCATATGATTTTTCCATATGGGCCTTTTTTCCATCTCCTGTTTTGTAGAGAAAAAAAAAGGCCTGACCTTCACCACCTAATCATCAAAAGCATGATGAATGAGTGGGTGCATTTTGATGAATGAAGATGCAGAGGTCACAACCCAAGAAATAGAGGCTTCAGGGCTAAAACCAAGGTGCAGCTAAATTATCCTGTAGCTCTCTGACTTCTCAACCCATCAACTGTAACCTTTCAAAAACTGACATCAGATAACTAAAATGAACTCAAGTGTCCCAGAATCATAATACAAGGGGATAGGACTTCATCTTAATGTTTTGGTTAACAGTTTTTCTCTAGAGCAACATTCCAAGTTCCTGTCCATAGGTTAGACAATGGGAGTTCATTTATAACAAAGGATAATCATGAGTAACTTTTTTTTAAATAGCCATGTGGCATTTCATGAAAAAGGAGTGTCTACTTGTAATAGTACTCTGCTGTTATATCATTTTTTTTTACATCACCCTCGATCACATGGTCAACAGCAGCATCTTCTATCAGGATACAGCGCCATCTTGCGGAAGAGAAAATCATCTCTTAGACTTGTGAACATCTCTGCCAAGTATCAGCTGGATCCAACTGTCCCTTAAAAAGTTATAGTGGAAAAATTCATTGTATTCTGAGGACGAGCACAGGTAATCACCTCACTTGAGGTGGAATGATCCATCTCTAAGCACCTTTAATTCACCTTTAAATGGGCATAGCATGATTTAGGCAGGGGTGCTGAAAGAAAGCTGGCAAGCACTTCAGCACCTTGTAACTGTCAAATATCGATTGGACATATTGGATTGCATATCCAATGTAATTTTTTCACTACATTTATGAAACTCTGTTTCTCCCATAGAAAACAGTAGAGCTTTTTTTTTTTTTTACCACCCCATACATATAGACAGGTACCTCTGCATCTGAATCTCCTCTTACTTGATCTAGAACAAATAGAATGAAAGGAACTTACATGTCATGCAGAGCGATGTATTGTGCGGAGTCTGAAGTCATATCTGGAATGGTCCCTCTCACAGGCAAACGACCATGACCATCTCCATTAACAAAATCCTTCACTGCACTTGCCATAACCCAGAAGTCTCCACTCTGCAGAAAAGGCAAAATTTTTTCTTACAAATTAAATGAAAAAAAAAAAATCAATCAAATAGAGGCCAAAATAGTCATGAAGTCAGAGTATCACACCATGGGGGAGAAAAATTCAAGTAGCATGATGTAGTAATGAGTAAAGATTTCAGGTCCACATTCACACCCTTGTTTACTGAATTATAAACATCTTAATTCTGACCAACCTTAAATTTATGATCTTAGTAGCAACTTTATGTGCATATATAGGGTGATCCGAATATAACTCCCTATATTTAAACAGACATAATTCATGTTTATCATTATCTGTAGTGCATCAGAAAAACTGCTGTGGAACTTTCTGTGTAACTTCCCTGATAAAATTCTCCAACTGGTCAAGATATCTTGGTTTCCTTTGGTAAACATTTTCCCTGACCCCAACCACAAAAAAGAAGTCCATGGGAGTGAGATCAGGGCTTCTTCTCGCTGGCCAATCTGTTGGTCCACGCCTGCCTATCCACCTGTTGAGATAGCTGAAATGTTACAGAATTTTGTGCAGTCTGAGTCTGAAGTCTCTAGGCACATGAGTTGCTCTTCTCACAGGATGGGACTCCACCCCATTTTTGCTGTCAATGTGCGCAACTGGTTGGAAAACAACTTTCCCCACAGGTGGATAGGCAGGCATGGACCAACGTATAGGCCCGTGAGAAGTAGCCCTGATCTCACTCCCATGGACTTCTTTTTTTGGGGTTGGGTCAAGGAAAATGTTTACCAAAGGAAACTGAGATATCTTGACCAGTTGGAGAATTTTTTCAGGGAAGTTACACAGAATGTTCCATAGCAGTTTCCCTGATGCACTACAGATAATGTTGCTGTGTGCTTAAGAAAAACTGTGGATAATGCTGGTACTTATGTGGAGCTTTAATCCATGTTGTATAAAATGGCATTAAATTATCTTTAAAATGCCATTAGAATGATGCTTTTACCATTCCCACAACATGAATTATGTCTGTTTAAAGATAGGGAGTTATATTTGGATCACCCTGTATATCATCATGAATAGCTAATTGACCTCAGGATAGCTAAAGTGTTAAGGTAGACAGATCCTATATGAAGGCTGGCTGAAAAGTTCTTGACCTAAGTGGGAAGGAGTAAGCATTGAGCAATCTAATTTCAGCACTTTTCATTATAATCCCCTTGAACTTATATGTATGCACATATTCCACTGGCATTATTACCCATTATCCCATTCCTGTAGAATGATATTTCCTACTTGTTGCGCCAATCCCTCACTGCATCCGCAACCTGTCTGTCATCGCTAAATTTTTTGTTACAAAGGTGCTGCTTCACTTGAGGGATGAGGTGGAAGTCAGAAGGGACTAAATGTGGTGAGTAAGGTGGGTGGACCAGCAGTTCAAAGCCATAGTCTTTGATGATACTCAATGCGATGGATGACATGTGTGCAGGAACATTTTTCACAAATAAGTGATCATCTTCAAAACAAAATGTGTGAGAAAAAGAAAAAATTTTAGTATTTCGATTAAAATTGGTAACCGAAAAAATAATAAAAGGTTTTAAACTCAAAAATGTTTCTAACAATATTGAATGCCCCATTCCAGTTAGACTGAGAACTTTTCAGCCAACCCTCACATGTCTGTCAGCAATGAACAAGTGCCTATACATAAAGCATTAGGCTTCACTTGTGAAATGCCATTTTGGCAATTTCTGGAATGGGCTGATCATCGTTGGTACAGTTAGAGCAAGGTATGGGAAAGCTAATTTACCATATTCGAGCAGATAATAACAATTATTCTTTTCTTTTTATTCATTTTAATCAATCAGAATATTCCATAATGATAACTACTGCTGTTACTTCCTCTCTAGCACTAAAGCCATGGAGTCAGTTCCATTTGAAAGTTATATTCATGAAGAATACCAAAGAAAAGTGCTCTGGCAATGGATTGTCCTTCAAGTTTTGTCAAAGGTGCTTTAACCCTTTTGCTGCGTAGTAGAATTGATATGGGTTAGGGAGGGCTAGTTGCTGTCTGAAAATAGTTGACCACCACAGTGAAAGAATTAAGTTTACGTTAGAAATTGATTGTAGGACTTTTTATTTTAAGGAGTGAAAATGAATTTTGACAACAGTGCGTACAGTTTTGACATGGGTATGTTAAGTTTTGAAAGTCATCATTCATTGAGAAATCACAGATATGTACCACCCACTTTCAAAATGATTCGGGCAGGCTGATTTTCTCTGGCAACTCTTTTATTTTTCATTTCACAAAGAACTGGGCAGTTGTAATCAAAGAACCTCAATATGGTCGACAACTTCGATATGTGGGCTAACTGCAGACCAACATGAATTGTGATATTACAAACAGATAAAAAGTTATTAACTATCAAAATAACATCACATGTTCCAAAATGGTTAGGGCATCGGCACTAATACTTCGTGACTTCACCTCTTGACGTGACTAGGGCTTCCAATGCTTCAGGCAAACTGGAGACGAGATGGGCGCATTGGTCTGAAGTGGTGGCACCCAAAAATTCCTGCAGGGTTGCCTGTAATCCCTCTTTGGCTCTCAGTCGTTGCTTTCTGATGCGAGACTTCACAATAACCCAGATAATCTTGATCGGCAACATATCAGCACTGCTGTCTGGCCATGGTAGCACCTCCATCTGTTGATTTTCGACCCATTGGGATGTTATCTTGCTGGTCATCTTGCACCAGGGTACAGTTCTTCCACCAATCGAATCATGGCATTTTCCCAGATTTCGCTGCATTTCTCGCTGTCAACAGTTCCATCGATGAACAGCAGCTGGCTGATCCCTTTTTTTGCTCGTGCATCCCTACACTATCAAGCTGTCAGGGAATGAAACCTTCAGGATGAAAAGCCTCATCCTCCATAAGGGAACTCTCTTGCGGTGATCCTCGAGGCAGATGAACATGGAATCGTCGCTCCATGGCCATTTCTTGAACTCTTTGGCCCATTTGAATCGCTTCCTCTTCAGGTTTGACATTAACAGTGGCTGTACTTTTGCCTTGTACAATGAGCAGCCCATCTTCAGGCGGCCACCTTGTAAATGGGGGGACGCAGGCTAAGGGAGGGAGCCGAAATGTAAGCTTGATTTGGATTGGAACTTGCACCGTCTTGAACCTGACTAGACTTAATCATTTCCAATGTCGAGCAAAAATGTAAGCATTAATCAAGGAAAACAAAGTGACCCAGATGTAAGAGAAACACGATACTACAGAAACAGCACCATGGATTACTTCCTATCGAAGCATAAATGCCAAGGTAGTCGGAGGAGTTCCAGTGCCACGTGGACTGACAATGGCTTAAATATCAGATGACTAGCTTTGTACAGTCACAAAATTGCAAATGTTTGCAGAATTTCACAATCGTGAAATAGAAGAGAAGATGCAGCTAGCAAATTGCTGATTGGAGAAAATTGAGCACTACCTGTAACGGGTGCTTACCAATAATGGAGACCAGTTGTTCAACGAGTTGTCACCAGTACTTGTCACTATTGAGGTAGATGAAAACACCACTGTCACCAGTGTCACGTGGTTGGCGTTATGGCGCTGTTGAGGGATACGTAGACGAGTGGAGGCTTGCGTGCGTCAAGCCTCACGTGAACATGGAAGAAAGTGGTAGACAGGATTTCTATGAGTAAGGTTTAATCCCTTCAATAAGACACCCTCCAAGTGGAGGTCACCAGGATTTGGGGAAATGGTTGGAGGAGCTGTTGGCTGGAAGTGAGGGAAGACTTTCAAGACGCTATGCCGAGAAGTGGAGGGTCGGCAGGCGAGAATGGCTCCGTTGAGAAGTGTTGTATTGGCGGGCGTAGATGGCACCATCGAGTAGTGTTGAATCAGCGGGCATAAATGGCTCCGTTTATTGTGTTGAGCGAATGCCTCAAATATCAGAAACCTCCACCTTTTATGGGCAAGTCTGGCCAGAGAAAGTAGTTCTCCGGGCCAAGGTGAAGGGGCTAGTACATGCCCCATGGCGAGGGCAAAAAGGGGTGAAAGGGAGAGCATCAGGGGGCTATGAGAACATGACACTCGTATTCCGGCCTCCTAAAGAGATATTGTAACCGGAATGCATACTGAGATTAGGGGAACCTTCAGAAGAATTATTTTCATGGTCTCTTGTTGGCAGTCCGTAGACATTTCTTATGTTAGAATATTGAAGAGCGTACTTTGATTTTGATAAAGGGATGCACTTTTGACTGTCAGACACATGGATGTGAGAAAGGTGCGCAGAGTTTTGTGGATCGTACGTAAAGTTTTGAAAAATGTCCAAGATATGACATAGGGCTCTAGCGATAGGGAAAAACTGTAAGTACATGGATAATCATCAGCCACATCCTTGCGTGAATGTGTCTCAACGTTACAAAGTGAATGCCTTTAATCATCTGATATGTATAAATATTAAGCTACTGCTTGGGTGGCTCTTTTCCGCTTGTCAATTCTGGGAGTCATTTTTCCAGGTGGCTTTTTTCTGAACCCCATTGTGAAAGCAGGTTAGGATCATTTGCAGCACTGGTCAACAAATCCTGACATATGCTGATGCATTGCCGCTTCTGTTTGGCAGTGGGAAGATGCGGAACAAACTTTGCACATCCAAATCTTGGATGTGCAAACTTGGTGGTACGTTTGGTAGTCATATTGGGTGACTCAATTCGGTTTTGTATGACGAGTTTAAAACCAAAATTACAAAACTGTAAGAATGGCATTTAATTTATTTTAGCTAACAAAAAATTAGGTGTTCATTTTAAAATCTAAACCTGAAATTTCACCACCAGATTCATCAATTTTTCAGATGACATATTCACACCCACTCCTTGACCAATTTTTGCTTGGAAATTCACTCATTTTCCTTGCACCATATCCTTTTTCAAGTTGCAAAATTTTAATAAAAGCAAGATGTTGTCACTCATGTTAGGCAATTTTAACAAGCACTTTCACATGATGAAAGATATAATTTTTTTATATTTAGAAAATTTTAAATCCCATTTGGCATTCAGCAAGCTAGCCTAGGTTTTTTTTTTTAATGTATTTATTGTAAGTATTAGATTGTTTCACATGAAATGTCCGATTTTGAAGATGAGATTTAAAAGGCTATATTTTTAACAAATAAAATTTCATTTAATCAAAATATGCTCCATTAGCTTGAATTGTCTTCTCCCAACGGAAAATATTCTATTTCTATAAAATTCTACATTTTTTAAATTAACAAACTCCTCAAATGCTCCAATTACAGCCTCTCAGTCCCGGAATGTTTTATTCCGGAGAAACAGCTCCAAGTGACGGAAAAGGTGATAATCCGTTGGTGAAAGGTCAGGTGAGTATGGTGGATGCTGCAAAATTTCATAGCCCAATTCTGTTAATTTTCCCTGTTTCTGGCTGTCCGTCAATTCGTGCGGCACCCATTTGTCCAATTTTTTCACCTTTCCTATTGCAGCCAGGTGTCGAGAAACAGTTGCAATAGAAACACCTAGGTCTATTGCAAGAGCCCGAACTGTTGCTTGTGGGTTAGCTTCCACAATGGCTCTTAAATGTTCTTCATTCACAACAGATTCAGGCCTTCCTCGGGGCTCATTTTCGAGATTCATGTCTCCAGATCAAAATTTTTTGAACCACCGCCGAATAGTCCACTGGTTAGCAGTCCCTTTCCCGAACGCCAAGTCGATGTTACTCGCGGCAACAGCTGCGTTGTGCCCCAATTTGAACTCATACAAAAAAAGTAGCCTCAATTCTTTTGAAGACATCATATTGTACAGGCAGTCCTTGACATATGACGGTAATACGGGGAAGGCCTCAGGCCTACATGTCAATGACTCCTTCAGCCCTAGGCTTAGAGCGTCCTAAGTCAAAGTGTCGTAAGTCGGAGCGTCATAAGTCGAGGACTGCCTGTATAGAGAAAAATCGGACATTTCATGTGAAACAACCTAATAGGTTGGCCTTAGCCGAGCCTAGCTTATAACTAACTTAGTTTATTGCGACGGGCGGCCATATATTCCATGAATAGAGACTTCAAGTTCATATCGATATTTTTGACAGCACATTTTGTTGTGGGTCATTACAAAATAATTTACAGCCCCTATAATTTTAAAACCAGAAGGCTGCAATTTGGTAAGCACACCCCAATTGTGTCACTCTGTAAGCCTACCGAATTTCATTTGAATTGGTGGCCTATAATCAGATTGACAACTCACCAAAAATGACAGCTTTTTATTTATTTGGCCTACCCTATATAATAAATCATGTTGATTACTGAATAGCGGTTTCAGCTACCTTTTCTTCTAACATTAGTTTTTTGCTGCAGCAACAAATTGCAGTAGCAGTTTTGGCAAATCAGAATCGTAATCAGATACATATGGTTTCGGGAACGAAATGTGACTTTCAGCATTTCATATAAATGCAAAACAACATGAAATACGGTGACTCTCAAGATTGCTTGCAGTGTTCGAAGTATGTCGACGAGCAAGTTTCCTTCAAAATCCCGAATTAGAGGCCAAGAATGAAGTCGAACAGTTCAATTTCAGCAACTGAAAATGAAAGCAGCAATCACCAAAAAGAGTATTCTCAGCTCTAGAGTGGATCGTAGATGCAAGTTTGAGGCTACTCCTGCTACCATTTTGTGGCATTCATTTGAGGGCAACAGGAAGCGCTATTTAATTATTAAAGCAAGGAAAACATTATATGCTACAGGAAAAGCCATAAATTCAGCCTAAAATCAAGTCAGCAGTGAAAAAGTGCAACTATACTTCTGGAATCCACTTCTAAGAGGTTCGTAATAAATGTTCAGCATTCTGTAAGCGAAGAAATGTTGACAGAACTGTTGAAAAGTGACAGCATTTCTGGCAAAATGATTTGTTTTCATCAATGAGGGATAGGTTGCATTAAGAAACATACAGTTTCAGCAATAGAATGTCACTTTCAGCATTTTGCGGGAAACATCCCCTCCATTACTCTCTGATGAGAAGCTGAATGTAAAATACGGCAACTGGAATCTCGAGATCAGTAGAATCTAGAATTCGTTGGCTGACATGATCTCTGCAAAAACTTGGCATCGGAGGGCAGAAATGAAGCAGAAGCAATTGTGAATGAAAGCAGGGAATTTCACAAATTCCAAGGTAAGGTCTTCTCACTAAATCATACCTTGCAAGTGAGAAACCTTTTTATGTCTGCATACTTGCAATAGGAATTACAATGACTCACCTTGGTATGGAGGTTTCTGCATGCTTCATCTTGAAAGATATCATCTAAATGAGGAGATACATCCTTGGGCTGAAACGCGGTGTTGACTGCCCTTAGGGCCTCCAAGTGGTTCTCCTGTTCCCCTTCTTTCTCGTTCTTTCTCATCCCTGGTTAAATATGAACCAAAATCTTATCAAAATGATGGGAATTTACTCATTAACACATGGCCAGAGGCAGCTACTCAGGTACATAAAGGACAAAATGGTAGAACGAGAGAGAAATTTCTCAATTTGATCATGTAGCTCCTCACACACCTCAGCATCCAGTACCACTTTGAATTGACTAATATATATGCACTCTATGGCACCACTAAATTCCCAATTAACATGTGGTAAAGACAGGTTTAGAGAAGATAATTATGTAACTGGTGTGCAGATGAAGTCACATGGCATGAAAGTACCAAAATCAACTCCTTATTCTGAGAGTTATATTCCAGGGAAGAATAGACCTGTGCCTCCAAATCAATTGCCATTATTTATTTTCTGTGGTAATTTAGAGGGTGGATGGCAAGTGGCAAATGGAAGGTCAGGTTAGAAAATGGTGTAAGTTATGTCATATGGTCAGAAAGAACATGGTGATTCCAGCTCTCCCTCCTAGATTCCTTAGAGATACTTCTGAGACTTTATTAAATGAGCCGGCCGAAGGTCGCGACCCTTTTCTAACCCAACTGATCCATCATCCTCCAAAATAGGCAGACCTTCGCACTCTTTTGCCTTTGACACCGAACCTCGGAGAAAATAAATGGGGGTCCACCAACTGTGCTAGTGCAATGACGGGTCTCGCTGGAATGACAAAGACTAGACTGGAAGGGCTTAGGAAAGCATGCCATGAGAAAGAAAAACACATTACCAATATATCCATATAGATGTATGTATGATATTAACACTTATTTGCTCCTAAAGGCAAGGTAAGAGATTCTTAAGTTAACCCCCTTTCCATCTCTTTTTGATCTACCTCCCAGGCAAGCGAGGTTTTGCTCTCTTGCCTGGGAGGTAGATCACACCTTACGGTAGAGCGCACACTATACTGGCACCCCTCATTTTTATTCATGACAGGTTTGGTTTAAAAGGGGAGGCATGGGTCTTGTTGTGGAAATTCAGCCCCATGCTAAAACTAGAACAATGAACTTGAACAGGCAATGAATGAAAACTGTTAACTGCTTCACAGTTCATAGTATCTCAACCAAACCTTACTCCCAACATAGTGAGAGGAAATTCAGGACAAATGAACACAGACAACCCTTATCCTGAAGTACTGCTAACTTTCCTTTTTCAGAGATAGAGTGGATGGCGATTGCTAGGAGGAAAGGCAACCAATTCACACTCTGAAAAATGTATAATGACTACCAACCAAATTGATGAAAGGAGGAAGGGCCCTTTTGCCATAACAAGTTGGCCTTGACTGAACTGAATTTATCATTTCATAAAGCAAAAGGAAAACTTATAGAGAAAAAAAGTATTCTCTCTAAATGTTTTCTCTGCATCTATGATTCCCCATCCCAGCTTGTTTCATGAAATTTGAGGGTTTTTGGTGGTGGGTGTATGGTCCCTTAAATCTTCCTTAAAACCCAACACATGGCCTTGAAATTGATGGGTAATTGTATGAGGGTGTTTCAATATGTAACTTGACAAGAGTGCTCACAATTATGAAGGAGTAGGTGGGGTAAGTATGAATATGCTGAACAAGAGGGGAGCATTATCTGGTGCATTCAGTTACTGCCAGAGCTTGCCATTTGCTGGTAGTGACATCATACAAGAGTGTAAATATGACTGGCATACTACACACATGGATATACATTGAATTGCATAGTGTCATTACATTTCTCCATGCAAAAGGCACAAAACCAGCCGAAATCTATCAACAGCTCGTGGAAATGTATGGCCCTGATGCTATGTCATGGCAACAAGTATATGTGTGGTGCAATGCGTTCAAAAACGGCCAGACTAATGTTGGAGATGAGCAGCGACCTGGGCGACCATGCACCACATGCAGGGATGACAATCTTTGTCGCATTGAAGGCATCATCAGAGAAGACCGACGGATGAAACTTAGTGCTGTTACAGAGGAACATGAGCATCTCAATAGGTACTGTGTATCACATTGTTCATGACCAGATGGGGTACCGAACATTTTGTGCCCACTAGGTCCCCAAACAGCTCACAGATGGCCATAAATCCACCCAAATGGGACTCTCACTGCGTGCATTTGACTCGTTACCAGACAGAAGGTGTGCGACTTCTCCAGTGCATTGTGACGAGAGATGAGATATAGGTGCACTACTACACTCTAGAAACCAAAGCTGCATCCAAGACGTGGAAACACCCATCATCTCCAACTGCTAAGAAGTTCAAAACGATGCTGCCACCGAAGAAGGTGCAAGCAACTGTCTTTTGGGACCATCAGGGTGTTCTGGTGGAGTTCCATTGTCAAATTGTGAATGTGGAATGCTAACGTCAGACGCTGGACAAACTGCAGGATGCCATATGCTGTAAATGATTTGGCTTACTGCGTGAGGGAGTAATTTTGCTTCACGACAACGCCAGGCCCCACACCGTCAACCATACCTGTGAGTGGTTACAACATTACACAAGGGAGGTGCTGGATCACCCACCCCATAGCCCCGACTAAGCACCCAGTGACTATCACCTGTTCGGGCCCCTGAAGAAGAGCCCCTCTGGCAGCCGTTTTGCAACAGATGCTGAGGTGCAGCAGGCAATGACAACATGACTCTGGACACTTGATGCGGATTTCTGGTGAGCAGGGATCAAGTGCTTGGTGTCATGTTGAGATAAATGTCTCAACAGGTATGGTGATTACGTTGAATAATAAGGTATCCCTTGCCTATATCCTGGATACAAATAAAGGTCTAAAGAAAATAAATATCTAAGCTTAACAGCTCTTGTCAAGTTATTTATTGAAACACCCTGTATTATTGGCATATAGGGCTGCATTTGAACTTTCAATAAAAATATATGATGGGAAAAATAGTCATACTAGGGGTTAATGGACTATAATGACAGTCATTTGTCCATTTTGACTGAGGGATGGCATACACTTTTAAATGTCTTCCTTAAACCTTTCAGTCAGAGTGGTCAGAACCTCTAACCATCCTTTTTATTGCACATTTTTATTGCACATGAGGAAAAGAGGTTGAGACTTGTGACCACCTCTCAAGAGTAGTTCCATGAGCCAACTAGTGTTTGACTTCCTGAACTCTTCACGTAAAATGGAAGAACACAACTTGAACTTTATAACAGCTAGCAACAGCTGCATCTAGTAAAAATTCATGCTAAACTTCAAAATCAAAATTGGGTGCCTCAAAAAGGTTGACTGCCTAACAATATACCGGGTGGCCAAAAAAAAAGTTCTGAACTTTACACGTCAGTAGACGGTGTAACATTTGAGTTATCAACAGGAAATTTACAGGCTTTTACACACAATGTTTGCAGGTAATTAAACAAAAATTTCATTGAAATTCATGATCATGTTATTGAAATGCGTTGTTCAAAGCATTTCGATAACACGATCAATTCCGTGACATGATGAGCACGGACTTTACTGACATGCTGTGTCTAACACCCTTTGCTTGCTTCACACTCTTCAGATACCTGCGTGGTCTTTCCATGGAGTGGATTGCTTAGGACTACATTCTACATAATCTCACGCATTCCAGTCTAACGATATCCCTGGGTCTACCACAACGATAGTTGTGAGATAGAAGAATGGTAGAAGCTGTCCGGCAGTTTTTTTTTCTCATTCACTTCTGCATTTTCTAAACAGATGAGTTCTACATCCTCTTTTGTCATGACATATTAAATTAATGAATAAGGTATTGCATAAAAGCCCATAGGCAGAACCACTGCAGGCAGAGAAACAGTGAATGCGTATGGCGTTCTGGTTGATAAATTTTCACATTGAAGAGGAGAGGCTTGGAAGAAGAGAGACTCGAGACAAGTGGTGCTGCTTTGAATTGTCTGCGTCGCAGGTGGGTGGATGACACAAGGGCATAGAGGCCCGAACGACATGGGCAAGGCGCCACCCCAGATCTGGGTTGGTAGACAGTTTGTCTCTCTCCTCTAGCCTCCTTCGTTGTCAACGAAAATTCTCCGTCTACTCATGCACCGTCTAGATGGATTTCTGAAGAATTAGCGACGTGTGAATAGTAACCTTAACCCAACCTGAAACCTGACTGCTAACTATGCTATAAGCCCAACCTGCAGGTCGGGTTAATTCAGTCGAGCCAATCCATGTCCCATGCAGAACTCAAAGCTACAATATTTAGGGTCTCAGATGCCAAGAGGCATCCTCGATATTTGTCTTGTACACTTGGGTGTTCTAAATTTGAATAGTTCCTCCATTAGAAAGGTAAACTGTGGGTAATTGATGATAAAAAGCATTCCTATTCTTCACTTAATACCCAGATGATCCCTATTTAAGTGATATGGCTCAAGTGAATAACTAAGGGTTAGAACTCAATAAAATTTCATGGAGGGAAATTGGGGGGATGGGACAGATTTCATATTACTGATCTGAAGCATGGCATTTGAAAATTCCAACATTATTCAATAAGCTACAGGAAAGAAATAGATGTGCCTCAAATAGGAGGATGTGAATGGTTCATGGGTAACAGCTAATGATAGACAGAATGAGACAGCTAAAGGGTTTCACTAACCTCGCTGAATGATGTCCTTGAGTTCATTCTTCTCCTTGTATGAGGTAGGGATGTGAGGTAGATATGGAAACTTTAGAGCCTGCCACTGCTTTAAAGCCTTGTAAAGGATGACCACATAGGGAATATGAGAGTGGGACTTGAAATCCAAATGCTCCAAGTCAACGGAGTCAAAGAACTTCTTCAATGCAGGGAAAGGATCTTCAAGACGAAGATCTTCATGCATGTTATCTGGATGGGACTCCACCACTAAGAGAAATGAATTCACAGAATATACAGGGTGTGCCAAATAATACAAAGCACAGCTACTCAATAATTTATTTAATCTTTATCAGACGAGTGTCCCATACATCATATGCCAAAGGTAAGCGCTGTGGGAGGCACGAATGATACAATTTCCTCCTCCTACAAAAATGAAAATGTCAATCAAACCACATTTGAAAATAATGGATTCCAGATTTCTACTTAAGCTCCTGTTATCTTCTCCTGCTTCATTCCTTCAAGAACAGGACTCACTTGAAAAAGGCATTATATAGGTCGATGAAAAATAAATTCAGTCTTTTGAAGGTTAACATAAGATAGAGCTGTAATTCACCAAAGAATAATGCATTTGAATACTCCAACTGCTTAACAAAGTCATAAACAAGAAATGTTCCATGCAACCTCACCTTTTATGAAAGACTGCCAAATGTGAATGGTATCAACCTAGCACAAAATTATAGGGGAAAGAGCATCTGACTCTTGGGCAATCTTTGAATGAAGACCCCACAGGTACTATACAGGGTGGGTCAGAAAGAAGTTCAACCTTCTTCATTCCACTGTCACATTATTGCTAATTAGGTTAGGTTCCTGCAATTATGTCATTGATTAGAATGACTAAATTGTAATCGAAAGCACTTCGTTTTGTGAAAATTAGTTCATAAGTTCTTGCACAGTGACAATTTTACAGTGAGAGGTGTGAAAAACCATCACTGCACAATCAAGAGGTCTATATTCAATTCATCTCATTTTCATTCAGTTGCATGTTTTCATGAAAAGCATTGTAAAGGTACACTTGACAAAGAACATTAATGGACAGGTATTACTTTGCTTTTGAAAAGAGCAAAGTAATAACACGCTGCTAAAAATGCTGGATTAGCGAGAGTGATGTTTGTTGTGGTCATCATTTCCTTCTACTACAGCAATCAACCTGGTGCTGCCGGATTGCCCAATTGATTGCTGACTGACTCAAGTCATACTGGCTAGCGATGATTCGTGCACTGGATATTCTGGATTTTTGTACAATATACCATCTCCTGTAATCCTGTAATAAACCTCATGCTGTAATCCACAGAATTCCAGTCAGGGCTGTTTGGAGGCCATTTTCAGTTGCATTGAAAATAGAGCACTGGTCATAAAGAAAGTTCCATGAGTTAACATTTGAACAGTGAGATAGTGCCAGGTTTGTGCAGTGGGGATTTTTCACCTCTCACCGTAAAATCATCACTGTGCAAGCATTTATGAACTTGTTTTCACAAAAAAGTGCATTTGATTCTCATTTAGCCATTCTATGCAATGCCATATACTGCAAGCGCCAAATTTAATTAGCGAAAATTTAATAGCAGATTGAAAATTGTGGAACTTATTTTTTGGCCCACCATGAAGTTGTTCTCTCTGTAAACTGTTACCAGAAGTGTTTCTTAAACTCCTCAATCTAAAAGATTCCAACCAGGGCTGTTTGGCAGCTGTTCAGAGGCCATATTTCAGCACCAACTAAGTCTGACATGTGCCAATGCATTACGAAGAACCAAGAACGACAGGATTTGGCACCATATTGCTGGAGGATGAATAAATTATAAAGGGAGACATTGGACTTCAGAAGGTCCAAAATTTCATCTCAGAAAAAGCATAATCCTTTTGATCATGCAGAATGGGGAATATATTTAGGATAAGTCTGCTGGAAAACCATTTTTAAGAATTCGAAATTAACAATCACCTGCAAATGGGATGCTATTTCTCAGCAATTTTCCTACACTGATACACAAAAACACAAGGCTTGGGTGTGGAAATGGGATGAGTTTAACTGAAAACGCAAGCCAAATGTTCTGTGAAAACCCTAGGATGTAAGTGGACATGCATGTGCAAAAATGTGTCTGCCTACCTACCCAAGCATCCATGCAAAGGAAGCATGACACACTAAGTGTGAAACACCCTTTAGAGCAGTGGTTCTCAACCTTCCTTTTACTCCCATTGAACCTTCATGCATTCAGGGGGGTGACACCTCCCAGGTTGAGAACCACTGCTTTAGAGAGAAGAGGTCATACAATCCCTGAGGACATACTTATTTTTATTAACATTTGTTGGCCACAGGCTACATCCTAACCTCACAAACTGGTTTATCCAATTTTTTTTACATTTATCTTTTTATTTATCCTTCTTCATATATTTTGAAGCTAATCTTAAAAAATTAACTTTTATAATTCAACACTTGGTTTGCAACTGTTCTAGAGTAGGTGAGACCCCATGTTTCCTCAGGCAAACTTGTGGAAAACATTAAATCTCCCTCATCTGCACACACATGCAGTTTCAATACTGTGTCTCACTAGCAATATTCCTACCCTGAATATTATTAGTCTCTTTTTTATTCCCTGGACACTCCTAGAGGACTAGGAGTGTCCAGGACAGCACCACTGGAAAAATGGCAGGACTAAGTCTTATTGCAACATGAATGAGAGAGCCTGGGAACAACGGCAAAAAGGGCCGGGCATGGAAGATGATGGAGGCGAATATAACAATCATTCTCTGAGTCAAGTGTACCAAACCCCCCCAATTTCTGTGGCAATCTCACTCCTTGCGAGATCCGGAAATCTGCAGTACCATACATACCCTTGAAGGGCTTGATCCAGGAAGGCTGTTGGTGCATAGTTTACTCTGTTTTGAGCAGTCCTTCACACTTTTCTGCCCATAGGAAGTTGATGCATCTTACCACCACAGTCATACCTATCAACAGATCTTGGACTGCCTGTGCTTTGACCTTTCAACTTGCAAAGATCTCTGGGCCAATCTATACTAGTCCAGGGTAGTTTGCTACGCATCCTTCCCTACCTTCCACAATCCACCTTTGTCTCACAATACTAGTGAGTATCTTCCAGCAACAAGTCATGATTCATGTCCTTTCTGCCTTCTTGAGCATCTCTGTTCTCAATAGGACAGTTTCAGGAATGGATTTGCTGCCTGCCAAAACACTTTCTCAGTCACATTCACTGACTGTGCTCTCTAAACAATTGGAGATACTGAGCAGGACAAGGAGGTCCTGCAACAAAGGCACACTCAATTGTCATGTTTAACCCTTTGAGGAGAGGGTTTTTTTAATGCCTAGAAGATCACCTGTAGTGAATACATGGAGGGCAGGAGGATGTCAGCCCATATATATACTGGCATACTCATCAAAGGGTTAATGCAAAAGCCATGACCAAGTCCAATGTATTGTATAACTTTCTGCCTTTTTACCCCTAAGAGCAAAAACCATATCTCTAGAAGTTCCAAGTCGATTTTCAAAGACCACCATTAGATTCCCCATATCTCAATGCCTACTCTGACAAGGTTTCAGTTTTATGGAGAAATTCCTAGATCTGTCTTCAATTTGGAGTGCCACCAACCGTGGTACACTTGGCTCAGAGAATGGTAGTTAAAAAATAATAATAATAATAATGTATACATATGAAAATTCTATCATGCCCCAGTGCCCACCCAAACAATGGATAATGAAGTCACCAAGTAAGGAGATGTGAAAGAAAAATGCATAATACAAAGCAGGAAGTTATTTAAAGCAGAAAATGTTGATTTAAATTTGTGAAATCTTATTCAAATAAGAAAATAAAAAGGGTTTTTAAATGTATGCTGTAGCACAGATATCTCACAGCAACAGCAATGTGCGAGAGGAAGGTTCCACGCTAAGATTTTCTAGTTAATATCTTACTGCAGCATTAGGGTGTTCAGAGTGTTCCACAATATCGTAGCATTCTGACAAGGTGAGGAACTCCACACTAGTTGTGGTTTCTTGAGGTATGTTGCATGGAGTGGTGGAGTGTCACAAATTCTTCACTAAAAAAACCATCTGGCCACCACACCTCTGGATATAATTAAATTCTGGAGAATCTCTAGTTTTCTTGAGTTTCCAGCTTGGTTCTGAAGAAGATATGAATGTAGAGATGTTATCAGATTCACATCCTCTCATGCTTTCATGCAAGAGCAAAGATGCAAGATGTGGACAGCACCTTTAATGCAATCATTGTGGATGTGACCATGACAGGTTGTCTGTTGAGACTAAAATGTCAAGGAAGGTGTCCTTGTAGTGAAGGCCAATAAAAGGAGTGCATTGGCTGCAGTAATCAATGGAAGTAGTATTTCCATATTGGATACAATATCTCAGTTTTACTGTAAAAGGACAATGTAATATATACTGTATTTTACAAAGGTAATTTTGCAATTTGGCACCTGTAGCCACCCCGAGACTCCTCTACCTCAAGTCTGAATTCTTTTGAGCATGAGATAGCAATTATTATTTTAATGTCATTTTGTGCTCAGGAGATTACAGACTTTCCAGTGGCATGCAACTTAAATGGGATATGACTTTGCCAGAATTTTCACATTATCTTTTCCCTCAAAATAGGCATTTCTGTTGCAGTTGTCCTGTGAACTCTACGTGTAAAAAATCATGAATTTTGCCACTCCTAGATGGACAACATCTGGGTGGATCTGCATCTTCAGGACAAGAACCTCATTAATGAATTCATGGGGAAAATGTTCAATATTGAAAAATTTTTTCCAGTCCCTGTCAAAATTGGGCATGGGTTGAGCAATAAGGTAAAACAATAGAAACTTGCCACAGTGTTCCTTAAGCTGAAGACGGATGTAACCAATAAATCCATAGCTATGACACACTATCAATGGGGTATTTGATTCCCAAAGAGTCTCGGAAAGCCACACCAATGTGCTAAGGAGAAAAAATGGATTGGCATATGAGACAAGCTTTCCACTCATCATGAACAAATGTCAGCCTTTGCTATAGTGATGGCAAGGAAATTAAAATGCAAAATCATTACAGTGAAAATTCTCCAAAATATGTACAGGTATATTGCTTTCTTCTGCTACAGCTGTTACTATTTTTATGAAATCATCATGAGATACTTAAAAGAATATGATTTTTCTGCAGTTAACTTTGCAGGACCATCAGAACAGGTATTCATTTGATTATGCAAATGAAGATGAAACATTTCTTGAAAATCAGGAAAGATATATGGAAGGCTTAGATTGAACCAAGCAAATGGGATTGATACAAAGATGCTCTCTATCATCCAGCTCATTATGAACTCACTTTTCAGGAAGATCGCAGGCAATGACAACAGAGAAGGAGGAGAAAAACTTGGGGGAAGATTTTAACATGGATTCCACAGACTCTTCAATGGCCTCCCCATGAGTCTCTTCATTGAGTTCAGACAGGAATGCCAAAACTGCTTCTCCTCGATTCCTCCCAACTTGTGATCCACATGAGCCCAAGAAGAAACTAAACAAAGGAAAAATTATCACAGCCCCTATCACACATGCCCTCAGATAACTTCTTCCCTTCTTCTTTTTTTTATAAATAAGAACCATCCTTAAAAAAAAGTAGCAGAAGATAAGGTAAGCTTTCCATGTTGGTTGTTCTGACTTCTTCATATGAGCACCAACAGAAATTTAATGCCAAGCAACAGAACAATAACAAGTGTTCAATAAGCAGTCTATCCAATGGCACACAATGCTATAGTGGGAGAAGGAATAATTCAATAATAATTACTTCAATTTACAAACATTTCCATCTATTTTTCACACATTTCATACATTATCTTCATGCTATTTTGGCAACCAATACCAGCAATGGTTTGTCAAAAGTCACAAAATTCTGCACAATCTTTATCCCTGTCTCAGCTTCTATCAGTTCCTGTCACTAGAAGTCAACTTTACTTCAGCCAATGTCCTCTTGGCATTGAAGTACTAATGTTGATGTAATTTCTGTTGAGAGTATCCTAGCACCTCAAATAATTGATCTACTGTAAAGGTGAGATTGTTCAATCTGCTACAGTTCTGGCAATCCTTAAACCCGCTTTACTGATGGAACACCATGGGCAATGCTTCAAGGACTCGGTATTTTACCAAATGTGCTAGAAAATCATGCTAAGAGGGCAAAGAAAGGAATAAGAAACATCCCTAATAGTTCCAGCTGAAATTATATCAGGACATGAGGCTATTATGATTCATTCCTGAGTGATTTCAAGAAAGAAAAAACTACAAATACTGAAAGAGCTGACTCAGAAAGTGCAGAATTTAACAAATTATTCCTCTGATTCAAGAAGGATATTCCTCATTCTGTACACTTTGAAGTGGGGATTTGAAATGGAGATTTTATGCCTGAATCTGTGTCAACACCCACACTCAGTCAAGATGAGGTCTGCAAACTTCTAAGAAGATCTAAGAACAACCTATCTTGTGACCCAGATGGACTCATCTCAGTGTCCTGAAGTCCTGCACAATGAATCTCTCATACCCCTTCCAGATTATCTTTATTAAATGCATTAATGAAGGCAGGCTTCCAAAATCATGGAACAGCACTAAAATAATCCCAGTTCCTAAAAAGACTCATCCCAGCTGTCCCAAGGATTTCAGGCCTATAGGGCTCACCTCTTCAGCTTGAAAGAGTATCTCTAACTTGAAGAGCTACAATACAAGAAGGCACTAGGCAATGATCCTTGTCAGTTTGTTAACAGGCCTAAGATGTCCACAGCAGATGCAATTGCCTATCTGTGCATGATAATCTCCCATGATAATTGCATGATAATTGCAACCCAAACTGCACCATATTAAAGTATGCTGATGACACGGTCATTGTTGCTGGGGTATAAGTAATTACTGAGGACTTCTACTACTGCCAGTGCATCCAAGCTGTGTGCTGTTTCTCAGAATCCCATGACCATATACTGAATCCAGAGAAATATTTTTTAAAAGTGCTTTTCCACCAGAGAGGGATAATTTTAAAGATCCCTTTCTGGTGGAAAAAACCTTTTTCTTTTCAGGAACATCTCCCTCAGGAATGAGGAAATATTAATAAATGGCCTCACAATCCATCCCTCCATGCCTTCCAGTTGAATGCACTACAGAGAACTGGAAAACAATAAAAATATATCAATACACTAATCACAGAACCAAGCAAAAGATCTTCTTGATCATATATTCTTTATTTCTCATTTCTTATTCATATCATAAATCATATTCTTCATTTCATATTTCTTGTTCCTGTGAAGACATATCGATGCATCCACCATCTCGTCATTGGACAGTTTGTAGGTACGTCCTGTTTCTGTTGAGGGATTCACAAGTGAAAGGACTTGACTATGATGTACTCTTAGTTCATCAGATTTGTGAGGATAGAAAAATGAAGGGGCTGGACCATGTGGATGAAAGAAAGAAACAAGAATTTCTTCATTGTCTTCAAATTTCTCAAGAACATATGCAAGATACCAATGTCCTCCATATTCACATGTCACAAACCCTCTGATGCTTGAATATGACATCTCCATTGGAGTGTTGAACTTGACATCTGCAAATGTGCTTGACTTTGAAAATTGTTTCCCTCTGATGATATTAGAAGATAGAGGAATGTAACACTGAAGGTTTTGTGTTCCAGGAATTGGCTGTATGCCTGCAAACCATCTTTGGAGCTTCTGTGTTTCTTTTGTTTTCTTGTCTCAAGGACAAACTGAAATCTCGTAGTTCTCAGATTCTCTATGGCCCACAAAAAGAAATCTTGGGGAGTTGGATTTTCATACTGGCTAGCTGCACCATCTGAGAAATAGGTAGTCTTCTTGATAGGGGCAACTGTTGCCTCCTCTTCAAGCAACAGTGAAATGAGATGCTCCTGGAAGGTATAAACTACAACTGTGTCATGTATAAGAGTATTGGATAAGATGATAAAGCTCAAGTGTTGCAGTTCATTTCCATCATTCACATCTTTGTGAGGCGTCTTAAAATAGCAAACAGAAGGATGAATTGTAGCCTGATTATTATTCCAATGGAATCCTTGTGCAGTATCTTGAAGAACAAAGGAGTAGTTCTCCGCAAAATCTAGAATAACAATGACTTCCCCCTCAGCAAGGTTTTCCTTTGTCTCCTGAAGAAATGAAGATTGCTACTGGGCAACGAAATCATGTTTTCTCAAGAAAGTCTTTTCAAGTTTAGTCTTTTCAAAGAAGTAATCCAGAAACTCCTCAGTGCTTTTCACCTCTGTGTCCAGAGAAGATCTATCTGTTGACACCTATTGTTTGGAGTCCATCATTCTGTCATCAAAGTCTTTTTGGAGCTAAGCATGCACATGCAGCATGAAATAAAATGAAGTTTAAAGTGCTCATTTTTACTTTGGATTCAATTGAAATAACACTGTTAAATCCATTCCCATAGGTGCCCATAATAATGTTGAATATTCACGTTAATCAATTTCATGCGAATGGCCTGGAGATTACCTAGCGCCCAAGTTAAAATTTGATACAGAGGTAGCCATATGTCTTGTCTACCTTTCTTCCAATTCTCATCAAAATTCAAGAGGGTTGTTTTTGACAATGTGAGGTCAAAGGTCATCAATATGGAGACCTTATTGAATGGTAACTTTTAGCATTTCTCAAAATGGATCAGTACCAATGGAAAAGACTGGAAAAGAACTAAAAAATGAGCCTAAGATGAGCTCTCTAGCATAATTAGAACTGGAGTTTCAAGGAGAAGACTATATCAGGGTACAGAATAAGGCATTTCAGCCTCAAATTTTGTGACCTCATACCAAAGGAACCAAGGGTCTAATGAACCCAATATTTTGTGTGAATTAGTTTCTCACCATTGTTGATAGGTATACCAAATATCATCCAAATCTGAAGGGGATCACCTGAAAAATGTCCTCCAAGTGTATTGATTTGACATGGAATGACCCCTATGATAAAGGGTTCTATCTGACCCAAACAAGATCTCTGGCAAAAATTAGTTTGAAATTCACGCTCCTGGCATGTGCTCAAGAAACAGAAATATAAATGATTGATCCAAAAATACAACACGATTTCAGGCCGGTTGTTAAGGGAGACATGCATATCATAGCTGACGCGACGAAATGGAATAACTTTAAAATTGAGATTTTTGGTAGTGAACTTTAAGTCTTTGGAGTCAATTTGACTCCTATTGATTCGGTTTATGTGATTCTTCCTGTTCACAGCAAGAAGAACACAGGAAAAAGAGACAGAAGAACAGAACTCAGTTATTATGCTGCGATGTTAAAGTCATGTTATCAGTGAGGAAAATTGTATATATCGTTAGATAAGTTCATCTTTTACATAATTACAAAAAATGTAATTTTCTATGAAAGGAATGAGGTTCTATGAGCACCAAACCAAATATACTTTTTTTCAGAAATTGTTTGCACATAAACCACTTTACCTTTCACTCTTCAATGTAACGCACACTTTAAATACAGGCTTTACCACCATATTGCTTGAACATGAGTTAGAGATTAGGAAAAATCTAATCAGATTGTGCTAGCTGTAACAAGATATCTGATTGGCTGATGGCAATAGGGTACCACCTACCTTGGATAATAAACCAATCAAAAGTCTCCAGAGTTTGTCTTCACCTATTGTCCAGGAACTGTAGATAGGACCTTGTTGAGCTGAATGTTTGAGACCCAAGCAGATAGAACCTTGAAGAATCATTAATTCTAGCCTTTCTTGAGGGAATTCACGCAAAATCTATATATTTCCTGAATCTTCTCTCCATGAGGATTACTTGGATGTCATTATCCCATTTTTCATGAAAATGTCAGATAGACCCTTATTGAACTAAGGTGATGAAATGTCATTAAAATGAAAATTTTAATGTACATCTAAAATCAAATATGCAGTTAAACATCTACTGTCAGACCGTAATGTGTGATATCAATACAATAGTAAACATTGTTTATTTGTCAAAATTTGCCAATAAACATTGACATACTGCCATTGTGTGACTATGGCCTCCCCTTAAAGGGCATTTTACCTCCCCAACCTCCCCTTGAGCTGTTTTCAAGATATGTTCACAGGACATACAAGCCTATGGTGGTAGTAATAACAAATTCTATACGGAAGTATCATACATGGTAGTAACATGCAGTTATACAGGTTGTCCCATAAGTTAGTTTACTGAGCGATTTTTAGCTATACTAAGTTCTTATAAACCTAGGTTTGTTATTAATATTAGGGTCATTGTGTCAAATCAACATGGGGTTAAAAGGTGACTTTCTCTGATTTGAATGAAATTTAACAGGCTTACTTGTACCTATTAAAATGTGACCCACATCAACTATTGGTTTCACTTGACTTCTTGTTCCTCAAATATGAGGTCATGAAAATTCAAACCAAAATGCTCTCTTGCCTCAATATGATACATTCTTCCCCTCATAACCTCTGTTCCACACTCATCGCCAAAAAAAAAGTCACACCAAGAAGGAGTTGAGTGATCTTGATGAAATTTGGTAATCATACTTGTTTTAGTGCGTCATGAAATCGATGCTAGTCTCAAGGTCATAAGTTGAATAGTCGCAGAGAAAGCTT